GCAATATGTTGGTATACAGGGCGCACCCCATTTAATTTCGGTTGATTATTCGAAAACGAAAAGATGCAGAAACAAACATTTATGGGTATAAGGGAAGGCAAGGTGGCATAATTTAAAAATTATTTTGAAATGCACAGGCTTGTACAGGGTATGACAGAACTAAGATCCACTCAAAGTTATATTTTTTCTTATGGAACACCCGTATTTTATTTCATTTTTGAATCCTTGGACACAAAATAAGACTTTTATTATAAGGGTTAAATATGTTTACAAGCTTTTGGTTTTGAGATATTTAAAGATCTTTTAATATGCATGCTATATTAAAAAAATATTGGCAACACCCTGAACATTGTACTAGAATTACCTATTGGGCTAACTTTTAATCCAAAGGAATGAACTTTACTGAAAAAATTGCTTCGTTTAATCCATAAAAATAAATCAAAAAAAAAAAAAAAAACTTATTTAAATATTTATTTTGTTATTTCAAATACAAGACACCCTGTATTTTTTTAAATAAATCGAAGCAGATTCAAATGCTCTCATTCAATTCTCAAACTATATTAAGGTTTCTATACCCTATCTAGCTCAGATTTTGAATAAAGAGCAATTTTCAATAAATGGCAACCTGCTGCTAGTGTCGTCATGGCAAGTTTCTAGTGACTGAATAGCTATTTTCAAGTCGAAATTAGTTTATGGACTTTATTTAAATTTATACCAGTTTACTTTTATTTAATTTACCTAAATAATAGTTTAATAAATAATATTTATTAAATATGTATTTATGATTCTACCAAGAATAAATATCCACACAATATCACATGGATATCCAAATAGAAAAAAAAACTATTGAAATCGTAAACCCTCCAGACCAACGAGCAATTTTCCTCACAAAATAAAATTACTAGTAACATATCTATTCCTTTCGCCAGCAAATACTGCTTCATTTTTCTTGGTAAAATAATAAACATTTATTATTAAATAGCAGAGTTTTTGTTTGAACTGTTAATATAGAAGCATTCCACGCTGTGTTCATCATAATGTGGACTCAACCTGCTTACTACCGGTTTCGGAGCCCTACCCCATCATCAAGTGAGCTTGGGTATTTCTACAAAACGACTAGCACAGCGCAGAGTATATACGACTTGTCGTAAAGTAGCGGTAAGATATTAAGTCCCGCATCGCGAGATACCGGCCTGTGTGCAATGGTAGTACTTTCGTACCACCGAGGCACAACTATCGATAGTAAATAAAGGCTTTTTTCGGTTAGCCCAAAATATATAATGGAATTAATATCTTGCCGCTACTTTACGACAAGTCGTATGTATATACTCTGCGCTGTGCTCGTCGTTTTGTGGAAATACCCAAGCTCACCTGATGATGGGGTAGGGCCCCGAAACCGGTAGTGAGAGCAGGTTGATCCACATTATAACGAACACAGCGTGGAATTAATTTCTATATTAGCAGTTCAAGGCAAGAAACTCTTATATAATTTTATTATATACCTATAGACTGCAAGAAATTTATTTTCCATTATATACTTACTTATTAAATTATTGTAGGTAAATTAAATAAAAGTAAACAGTTATAAATTTAAATAAAGTCCATAAACTAATTTCGATTTTAGGAATCTTGATAAGCATTCTTTTGAAAAACTACTTTTTCTATTTCGCACAGCTCATAGTGTAAACCTATTAGGCAGAAAATTGTCGTTGGAAGTGGCGAATATCAATTTGCCATAATTGGCGCTTTTAGAGGAAATCCAATATATCTACAAGTCATCGTAATATAAGACAAAGAACTAAATAAATAAATAAATAAATAAATAATAAATAAATAAATGCCTTTATTGTCAAAAAATTTTTCAATTTGTAGACGAAGGTAAACAAACAAAGTAAAAAAACAAGGTACACAAACAAACAAACAAAAGATAATACAAAACATTATACAAATAATATTGTCAGTCTGATTGTTTGCCACTGGATGTTTATGTTAGTAACAAGTCTGTTAATAAATAAAAGTTAGGCTGAAACAAAATAAAGCCTAGTACTGAGCCTTGTGGTACTCCACATTCTATTGGCTTGCTAGAAGACAACGTGGTATCCACTCTCACAAGTTGACTTCTGTTGCTCAGATACAACTTAAACCATTCGAGAGATGACCCCCTGAACCCATAGTGCTGCAGTTTATTAAGTAGGATCTTATGATTTTACACACAGTCGAACGCCTTAGAAAAATCACAAAAAATTGTTGCTGCAGAATGATGGTTATTTAGTCTGGAGTAAAAGTAAACTTTATTAAGGAGGGAAAACATAGCGTCATTTGTGGACTTGTTGCTTGAAATCCAAATTGATATTCAGTAAGTATTTTGTAATTAAACAGAAAAGATACCAGCCTTCTTTTAACCAACCTTTCTATGATCTTAAATAGCGTTGGAAGGAGTGCAATTGGGCGATAGTTAGAAGCTTCATCTTTGTCTCCTCCTTTTTGCAGAGGAATGATTATTGCCGTCTTAAAACATTTTGGAAAAATACCATTTTTGAACGACATGTTTATTAAAGTTGTTAGGTGATTCAGAGTTTCTGGAAGATTCGAAAACATTTTTAAAGTTAAATTTCGTCGGTCCCAGAAGAGGATTTATTATTGATGGTATTAATTGTACTGCAAAGCTCTTCTAAAACTACGGGCGAAAAAAAACTTATGCTTACATTATCATTAGATAGATATGAAAGTGGATCACAGAAGGACATGCGAAGTTAGTTAAGTTTTTGTTACATTACAAAGTAATCGTTAAGGTTCTCAGGTGAGTTAGAGATATTGCTACACGAATAAGCTTTGTTTCTCAATTCATTCACAATAGACCATGTTTCTTTAGCAACATTACCAGAATTGACTATTCTCCTATTATAATAAAGGTCCTTAGCGGCTCTTAGTAGTCTTAAGGATAAATTTTCTATAGTTTTACGTAATTGTGGAAGAAGACACTACTGTCTGAGAATTTTTAAGGAGATAATAAACGCATGTTTTACAATAATATGCGTATCCTTTCTTTTAGAACTAATACTTCGTTTTTCTTATGTGGTCAGCATATGCTCCATAGATAATTTTTGCTCATTACTTTTTAGAATCAAAGGTATCAATTTTCTCTGCCACTTTTAATTATGACACGTAATCGTAAAAGATTTCAACTATAGAGGGCTCAATATTAAAAAATTAAGTCCAGTAATAGTCATGACATTTTTATTACGTTTTATCTTACCAAGTATCAATATCAAAAAAATAATTAGATATACACATTTTACCACTATTAAAATATATACTTACTTATCTGATTAACTTGTTAAGAGAAGGAACAAAATCAACAGTTAAAAGTTTTAAACCAATATTCACTTAACCTATTAAAAATATTGTAAAAAATAAAATAATTTTTGTGAAAAAGAAAGAATAATTTTAAACAGATTTCCTTAACTAACTTTTAACTATTAACTATTAATTCTATTAGGTATATAATATATACTAATTCGTACTAATTCTATTTAAATTAAATCGTTGTGATGATGTCAGTGGTAGAAAAAACTATACTAATCTCTTATTCTCTAAAGAGTCTTAAAAAATATTTAACAAAAAAATTCTTTAGTATTTGTATCAAATAAAGTCAGCCCAATGAGTGAGAGGAGATTTTGACAGACAACATCTAAAAATTATGCAGTAAACAATTTAACTGTCAATTAAAATGACAAACAATTTTTCCTCTTATATACTTACTTTTGACAGACTTTTTACTTATATTATATTTTAATTACAAAAAAAAAAAAAAAATAAAATTTTAATAATAATAATAGATAGAATAGAATAGTAACTTAATTTTAATAGGATAGAATAGTAACTTAATTTTAATATAAAATTTTTTTTTTTTTAAAATAATAATGATTTATTAACTACAAACACTAAATACGTGTAGTTAGAAATACTTCCTTACATTATTCTCTATTTTGTATTTCAAACAATATTTTTGTATAATTATTAGACAAAAAATCAGTCAAATCAAAGGTACATAATATTATATGCTATTACATATAGGTATTCGAAATTGGCAGTGATATTGCAGATGTGCCGCAAAGTCTGCGCGTACCGCGTCCTAAAATGTTTATAGTTTCGGAGATACAGAGGGTGTGTAGTTTCATTTTTATTTCGATTTTTTTCCAAATAATTTAAGATTTAACGTCAGCATTTGAATGAAAATTGCTTATCTGGGGAATTTTTTGACATGAAAAATTATATTTTAATGTCATTATGACTCCTACCTGTAGAGGACGCCACCTACATATGTGCTCGTAGCGATTTTTACCTTAAGAAACATTTTTTAAGGTAAAAAGTCACGGAAATTTTTTAGCCTGGTAGTGTTTTATATAGGTACGGAGGAAAGTTATTACTCTCCTGAAACAGTCAAGAAACTCCCAGACACCAATTTTCATCCAAGTATTGACGTTACCTCAGAAATTATTTGAAAAACACCAACTACACCCTGTATCTTCGAAACTAAGCATTTTAGGACATAGCATTTATAATGATTTATTTTTCTCTTATCTGCAGAATATGCTACTGAAGTTTCCGGAATACAGTTCGGACCAATTCTGTATATTAGTCTTCTATATTAGTTAATTTTATACATATTATGTTTTTAAGTGTTTTAAAAAGTAAATAAAAAAAAAAAAATATACTTTTTAGTTATATACGTTCAGTAGAAAATATTTTTGTTATTGTGAAATAAATGTGGTTATAATATTTAACATAATAAATTTGACTGAATGTTTATATTTATGTATATTCAAGATATATTTACAATCTTTTATAATAAGTTAAATAATGAACTGCAAAGAAAATTTGCCTATTCATTTTAACAATGAAGTTAAGATTTTTTCAAAATCTTTCGCCATTTAACAAAGTTTTAAAATATGAAAAAAAAAAAAAAAAAATTTCAAAAAATTAAAACTTGATAAATTTAAAATTAAGCCAAGTTTGGGCAAGCAGCACATGTTTCAGTTAATCTACTTCTAATTTTCTGAAACTACCGATTATATTTTCTGGATTGCTCTTAGACGAATTCTTTGATCGAATGATGCCTCTGTCGCTCAGAAGATTCATGTCGTCCATGGCCATGAGTCTTTTCTTTTTTGAGTCGACTTCTTGTTTCCACCAGCATATCATATCTTTGGACGAAATGTCGCCTCCAAATTCTGCCGGTAATGATCTTTGGTTGATTTTTTGTACTAAATCCAGTTTGGAGTCGTGGTTCTGAAACAAAAATTGCCGTCAGTGTTAAATGTCAACGAGAGAAAATATATCATCTCATTAGAAAGGTAGCACAAAAATCTACATACGTATATAAAATGCTATCACTGTTTATCTGTGTCGTCTCTCTACTGAAGTAACGACTTGCTCTAGAAAGTTATTTAGCTTTTTTTACTAAAAGATAGCTAATTGGCTCTTCTGAAAACTGTCGTCGACGGATTTTTTGTTTTTCATTTTAATTAAAAAAATAAAATAAAAAGTATGTTTTTCCTGGTGTCGTGGCGGATACGCCAGGCTTCAACTAGGATAATATAAATTCCCCGACACAAAAGTCCACCGGCCTAAAATTCTTACTAAGTTTGATGTTTAATAACTTTTTAATTTGTAATCCGATTTTTATGATTATAGTATTAGTTTGTAGATAAATTTGTTGGCATTATTTTTTGTTATTTTAATAGATTATATATTAGTGCTGTGGGTTTGTACCAGGATAAATCGAAACTTCGTTTTTGCAATAACTATAACAACTAAAAAAGTAATGATGGATGAAATTTTGGATAAAAACACTTCTTCCTGTAATCTAGATGTATGCATTTCTTTTTAATAATTATCCTATTATCTATATTCTTTTAATGAGCTACACATTTTAAATAGAGTAGCCACTTTGAATCTTGATTTTTTTGAAAATGGAGCTGTCAATGCCCCCGTTATATTGAGAATGTCTACCAAGAAGTTGCAGTTCCATTTGCTCCTTTTATTGGAAATCAGTTTATATTGATGCATGATAATGCCAACTCCCACACTGCGCGAGGTAACGAGTTAGGAGTACGATTAGTTAACAAGAACCTAGATGCAGCTGGACTACGAAGATTGGAATGGCGTCCTTGTAGTCTCGACCTCAATCCAATCGAACATTGATGAGATGAACTTAAAAGAGCTGTTCGTCGTCGTCCAATTCCACCACAAACTTTACATGAGCTTTGAGATTCCTCTGTTAATGCTAGCCTTAGCTCTATGTGCCGTGTCATAGCAGTATCCAAGACAACAAAAAATCCGGAAACTAGGATGATATTGATCATCGGAAGCCTAGTTTAGTCCAGAGACAGTACTGGAAATGCCCAAATGTACGGCTCGCAGTGCTGGAAAACTCTAGACCAAATAGAAGCAGATCGTCTACTAGAGAAACAGACTGGGTCACAGGCCTTCATCTAACTCTAAAACCACCGAGGGACTGCTAATGCTTAACAAAAATGAAGTGCGGATTACAACAAGTCTCTGGACAGAACATATTACATGGCTGTCAAGTGCGGAAGTGCCATATTATTGAACTCAACCTGATCCAAGCAAGTCTTTGCTGCAGACTCTGCGATAAGATCCTGAAACAGCGGAACATATAATATATCACCGCGAGGCTCTGGATCACAAGTCACACTTTCTATTTGGGAAAGCAAGGCTTGAACTAGAGAAACTATACTGCCATCCTATCAAGGACCTGATCAAATTGGCGCAGGTCACTGGGATAGAGGCCTATGTGCAGACATAGAAAGGAGACAAGCCTGGAGTGCCCGTCCTGTCCAGGAGTTCCTGAAGACGCGGAGCACATGTTCTTTGTGTGCCCACGTTTCAACTTAATGCGTAATCATCTGGAGATTGTTCTTGAACTAGCAATTCAACCAGAGACACTAATTGATGCAATGCTTTCTTCGAAGGCATCCTGGAACGCGATCAATGTTTTCGCAACGAAAGCACTCCTCCAACACCTGCGTTCTATAGAGAGGAAACGAGCCAGCAACAAGAACAGTTAGAGAGAGAGAAGAGAAGAGAAGCATTGACTTCAATTAATGGAAGGAAGAGCAATAGCTAGATTCTCTCCCTGCGAAGTAATGCCTAACGGCCGGTTTCCGACATAATAGAAGTATTTCCGACATAATGACGCAGTAATGCCAACTTAGGGTTTGTTCCTCTAAATTTAGGTGGGAAAATATGTACAGGGTTTTGTAGGGGTTAAAATTGATGAAAGTGATAAATACTTGGCTTGCAGCTGAGTGATTTTGGACAATGCTGGTTTATGGGGGGTTGGTAACCCTGTAAATGGTTTTGAAATTGCTTTAGGGGGAAAGTTTTCAAACAGTTGGCAACACTGATATGACGGCCACCTTTGACGGCCCCTTAAAATCTGGAAAAAAAACTTGATAATTTAGGAATCTCTCAAATTCGAACTTTGAAATACTTTATTTAAAATTTATGTTTTAATTTTACTTAAGTAGACCAATTTTCAGCCAAATAAATGAAAAACAATCGCCTTTTTTAACCTAAACCAGCTGTTTCTCGAGGTAGAAGCAAAAATAACTAATAGTAGTCCGTTTGTCAGTCAATATTGATGTAGTCATATATTTAGTTAAATTTATTGTTTCTATTAATAGATTTTAAAGAGATGACATTACAAAAATATAGGTTTGTCTATTCTGAAACATTATTAAAAAAAAAATACAAAAAAAAAATTTATAAATTATTTATATACAGGGTGGTCCGAACTGTATTCCAGAAACTCTGACAGCATATCTGCAGATAAAAATAAAAAAAAAAAAAAAGTTCCTATAAATGTAAGTCCTGGAAATGCTTAGTTTCGAGATACAGGGAGTAGAAGTTTCATTTTTATTTTGATTTTCCAACACTCTAGGAACTAACGTTAATTTTAGATTAAAATTGCGACTGAGTTTTTGGCATGAGAAATTGATTTTGATGTCAATAAGATCTTATATTTGTAGTTTTACCTACATGTGTTTTAACTGTTTTGAAGAGTAATAACTTTCACCCGTGCCCTGTATAAAGCTACTGGGTGAAAAAATAAACATTAAAAAAAAAAAAAAAAAAAAAAAGTCTCTTGGTAAAATCGCTATGAGCAAACGTTCTCAAGAAATCTGATAAATAAAAAATAAAAAAAAAAAAAAAAAAAAAAAACAAATAAATACGTTAAGTAGATAGTTAGTTTGACTGAAATAATAAATTTGAGAAATTCTTATGAAATTAATCATAAATTTTTCTGTGAAAATGATGATAAAACAGTTTCTGCAGAACTTTTGGCACAAAACATTTCAAATTTATGATTTCAGTCTAATAACTATTTAGTCGACATATCCAAATTATTTCACGATGACAGGTATTGATAACTCTGATTTCAAATATGTCTATAAACCATTACTCGTAGCGATTTTACCAAAACCTTTTTACGTAAAAAGTTGTAAATGTATTTTTTTACTGACAGGTTTTATACAGGTACGGACGAAAAGTTATTACTCTTCAAAGAGCTAAAAATATATGTAGGTGGTGCCCTCTACAAGTAGAGTCATATTGATATCAAAATCAAATTTCATGTCAAAAAAAAACAGACACCAATTTTTATCCAAATATTTTTTTTTTTTTTTTTGTATAAAATTATTTTGGAAAAAATCGAAATAAAAATGAAATTCTACACCCCTGTATCTCGAAACGAAGCATTCAAGACATACATTTATACGAACTTTTTACTATTTCTTTTACCCGCAGAATATGCTGCCAAACTTTCCTGATTACAGCTCGACCACCCTGTATACTGTCTGCATAATCAGTCTATTAGATATCGAGAGTTGGTTATTACAAAACCTTATCAGCTGAAAGATGACATTTCTTGAGAAGTATCCTTTTGTGTATCCGACAGGAATAACATGTTCGTTAGTAGATCCTTGGGCTTGAAGGGTCGAGGCAGGATTTGATCTAAAAATAGAGTTATATATTATCGAGTTATAATTGCTTGGGGTCATCCTTTATTTATTATTAAGAAACGTGTAAATTAGCTGACAGACATTTTCCTCTCGTGGCTGAAATTCCCGCAGACAAGGCGAAAGAGGCGACCTAACAAAAGAAAAATAAATTAATAATATATTGTTAATAATAATATAATATATTGTCAATATAATTTATTGTTAATTAATTTAAAAAGTATGCAAAAGGACAGACAAAAAAATCGTTATTGAAGTAATAAAAAAAATATATTTATAATATGTTCGTATATTATATGATTTATCTATACTTAAATGGATGAGGTGTCCAGCGTTCCCTGAATAAAGCGCTAGAGTAATATCGCGCTTTTGATAACTGTCTGCAGCTGATTGAGCCACGATCTTTTTGTCCGCCCTTTTGCATACGGCTTTTAAAATAAATAAATATGACATTTCACCAATCGGCATGCAAATATGCCATAATTTTTTTAATTCTTCAAGTTTAATTTTTTAATAATTTTTAAAATTTCATGCCTCTTTCGCGTTGTCTGTCGGCATTTTAGCGACTAGAAAAATGTCAACAATTTTCCACGTTTCTTAATAATAAATAAATGCTATTTTCGCAATTATAACTCATGTATCTTATAATATTTTTAGTGTCAAAATTTCACCCTTTCGATTGGCCGTCCACGCTTTAAGCCCCGGGATCGCGCTGGCAGACAGGACTATTTCATAATGGCTACCCAAAAGGATACTTCACACAAAAAATCAGCCATGTAACGATGATAAGGTTTTTTATGTAGCCAGCTCTTAGACTATATGGTTTCTGATCAAATTAAAAAAAATATATTATGAAAAAGTGTTTAACTAATATATTAATTAAATTCAGTAATTACAGGGAATAATTATATAGGAATGATGCCACCTCGATAAATACGAGCATAACGCAATAATTTTTTGCAACAAAATATTACTTCTTATTAAAAATTATTCATTTATTAAAATATTTAGCAAAATATAAATAATCACTTGATAAAAATTTGACTGACAAACAGAAAAGGACTAGCATACAAATGTATCGATTAGGATAACCACTATAGATTAAAATGGTCAGATTTTCTTCTGTAATAATTTACATTCTGTTCAATTTTCATGACTTACCATAATTCTTTCTTTGATCTTCTGGCTCATGTTGTTTTTTGCGAAATCGTAGACGTATTTTAATGCTTGCGGCATGTTGATGAAATGGATTTCTTTGTGTCTCATTGGGAAAGATTGCTGAAACAAAGCTACGATTAATAAAGCTAATGAAAATATCTGTAAATAAATATGACTCTGGATGAATCAAGTGGTCGATGTAATTTTTGAAATATTCAAAGTTTATCACTTTTAAGAAGACTTAGTTATACACATTTGAAAATTCACTCGGTCTAGATTAGATTAGATTCTTTAAGGTTATTTTTAGATCTTGTAGTCCTCTTCTGATCCTTAGGTTATATTCTCCGTTCCTATCCTTCTCAAAAAGTCTAGTAACTTAGAGCCTAAACCCTCCATATAGCTTCTCTGTCAATGGCCTATCATTGCCTATTACAGAGAAGCGCGACACAGTGTGTTCTGTCGTTTTTTCTTCAGATTGACAGAACCTGCACATGGCGTTGTCCGTCAACCCCTTTAGCATAATAACAATTAGTAAGCTGTGAATGCCCCCAGCTTACAATGTCCTGTCGGTAGACTCGGTATACATGAAACAGTGGCGCATCTAGAGATTGAATCTGGGAGGTATAGTGACTATATTTAAGTAAAGTACTAGATTTAAATTAAATTAACGCTGATCTTTTTTTATAGATGGGAAACGCCTTTACGGCCAGAGTGTGGAGATCTCCCTCATGCGAGAGGGCCTGGGTAGGCCCTCTCATGATTGGTACCCTAGTGGGTACTAACAGCCCATCTGTGCTCTAAGCTCGCCAATCTCCGTACCGTCAAAGGCATTTCATCACTATTAGAGACTTATCATTCTTCTATGTTGGTCTTGTCTGTACCCAAATCTTGTCTGTTTCGTCCTTCGCCTTTTTCTTCATAATGTTCCTTGACATGCCGCAAATCGCTTCGATATTTTCGTTCGATGATGTTAGAAGGTTTCCGATATTTACTCTAGTAATCTTCGTACCACATACTGTTCCTACGTTTTCCCCTATATCTTCGTGCGCGTGACACTCAAATAGTGTATGGTTAGCCGAGTCTGACTCCTCGCAATACCCAAGGATACTATAGAGATAAGGATAGTTCGATTCCTATCTTCCTGCACTGTCAGTTTTTTTACGTAATCTACTTACCGAGTTGAAGTTGGCGCTAAAGATTTTAGACAGTGACAGTTATTTAGTTTGGTTAGAAATAAGCCAAAAAATGTGTACTGATAAGAATAAATAGTAGACATTCCAATTGATACAAAAATGCATGAATATTCTTTGTATTTCGATACACTTTTATCAACCAAACTTGGTCGTTTTCTGCTCAGCAAGGCAGAGATCATACGAAAACAAAATATTTACAAGTGCTTATACATTTTATTAGAAAGCCAAATTATGTTGAAGATTGCCAAAGGTATGTACTTTTCTACTGTACGTATATTATTTGTTAAAATCCTTGGTGCCTTTGTTCTGCAGATATCAAACTTTCACTTTTTTTTCAAATATCGATATATTGAATGATGTAGATCTTTTGAGTTACCAATAGTTACCAACACAGGTAGTCGCAGTCACAGGGAGTTCAAGCTTAACAGGTGAATGCCCAAAAAGATTCATTTCAATCGGATAGTATAAAAACAAAACAACTCCATCAAAAGGCACTGAGTTTAAAAAATTGTCTTAGATACTTAATATATGAATTTACAATTACCGAGTGTTAAAATTAAAATTAAAATATCTATCTTATTTATTATTTTCAAAATAAAATATATTTTTTTAAAATAAATTATAGAGGGTGTCACAAGATTACAAATTAATTTAAAAATAACTGCTAAAGAGTTTTTTGATATCATAATTTTATGTATTTGGCAATAGTTTACAATACGGTTTTTGTGTGTCATGTACGAATAATATCATAGTTTTATTATCTTGTATTTATTTATTAATAAATTAAGTTGTTAATAAATAAATAAATTTAACCATATAGTTGCTATATATTAGACCATTTGCTACGTTCTTAGATTTTGTCCCGCTAGAATAACCATCCGCCGCACTGTGGAGCGCTGGTCAGCGCATGACGTAGCATTCCACGGCGACTACGACAGCGGTGATTTGACGCGAACGAACAGTCCTTTAGAATATATACAGTCCTTGCGCAATACCAGCATGTAGGAGAGTCAGCCTTGCGGATCCTGTGCAGATACTCGCCAAATACTCCATGGCCAGTCATGGCTTGCGTGATGTAGTAGTCCGTGTTTGCTTGGTCGCATTTTATCAATCTTTATTATTAGGTATGAAAGTCTTTGTCCATCCGCTATATGCTTCCCATCGTGTCTGCCATTGCTCTAGTACAATGTTTCTGGCCTCTTTCCGGAAGGAAGTTCCATTTTTATATATTTGGTTTCTTTCCTGGATCAGTAGACTGATCGGAGGTATCTTAGAAAGACACAGTACCGCTACTAACTGTTGGACATGTGCAGTATGCCGATGCAACCCTGAGTGCTAACTTCTTATTTATCCTTTCTAGCATGTTTCCGTGATGCTTGAAGCGCATGGATCTGTCCCAAATCGACGATGCGTAGAGTATGGTCGAATGAACTACCAAAGCCGTCTTATTTTTTCCGCGTTACGTCCTCGGATATTGGGAGTTATTCTCATCAGATGCTGGATGATGCCAGTAAATTAACGCGTAGGTATTAGGTATTAGATATTTTGACTCTGGTAGAAAATAACCTTGGATTGTACTGTATTTTACTGTATTTTCTATCTGGATTGGTATGTTTAATTTATTTTTTGACAATTTTATTTTACAGTATTTTATCTTATTTTTATTTCTGGAATTAAAAAATCTGCAAAAAAGCATTACAGTGGGTATTTTAGAAATAGACATTTAAAAAAAATATGTGTGCACTATTTGCGCATATTTGAAGTATTCCTCTTCTTCTTCTTACTATCGTACTAATATAATAACTAACTAGATTACTATCGTAACTACTATTCGTACGTTAGGACCAAATCCTGTGTTTTCTTCAATGGTTGAAGAACAGTTGGGAATAAAGACCAGCTTTCATACCATCTTATAGGTGGTCGACCCGGCGCGGCGCGGCGCACAATGGATCGAAGCATAGGAAGATAGGGACATTGGCTATTTTTGAAGAGTTCCAAATTTAAATATTTTTTTACATATTTGTGTTAAAGAGATATTCTAGTCTTGTAAAACATATACAGTATGCCTGTTTGTTATTTACTTATTGAGCATATGAGCACCATTTGAAGTAAATTGAAAAATCATTCAAATTGGTAGATAAAGAGTCTTACATTTGATTGTAATTTTAAAATAGATGTAAGAGATATTCGTTTGTTATATATAACGACTTATTAGAAGCGTTCTTGGGCTATAGTATTGGATTGTTAAATTTAAAAAAAAGTCACACCAGAAGTGAAAAACTCATTTGTTTTTTATTTATGTCATTAAGACTTAAAAATATAAAGTTTTCTTGAATTACAAAAAAATGTAAGCAGATGTAAGTGGAGATATTACGTGCAATGTAAAGAGCCACCTTTACTAGCACATATCATAAAAAATTGGCTGCCCCAAAGTGCCACTGCAAAAATATAATGTTTTTAATGTCAAAAATCCTTGAATTTATGCAATGCACGCACAGTGCACCATCAAACAATTTGTTATTTGCCGATATAGGTAAGTATATCTCGTCGAAGAACATTGGAGTGGGACTGAATTACACTACAATACATAAGGCATATAGGTTGAAAGGCCCAGAAATGTTTTCGTTTTGGTATTCGGTATTCGGCAATTGAATTGGTATTCGGCAATTTGTCGAGTTTGCCGTGGACGCGCATCACGCGTTGCTTTGCAGAATATATTTGCAATTTTATTTCAGATTTAGGGAGGAAATGGATTTGATAGATGATGTCGTTAAACAGGGATGGGGCACAACGTTTGCACAACTAACGATGGAAACACTGCCAGAAGATTTTTCCGAAACTTCGAAGTCATAACAAATTACAGGAATCGATGAATTGATTGCTGGAAAGACTATATACATTACTCCAAGTTTTGGTTTCAGGAAAAAAAAATAAATGCCGAAAAGTTTAATAAATTTGCAAAAGAGACTGCAGAAGAGTTAACTTTTATGGATGGTATTACATGCCATCTTCTCTACAGAAAATGTTGATACACGGAGCAAAAATCATCAGCAATTTTTGGTTTCCGATAGGACATCTGTCTGAAGAGGCCTCAGAGTCTAGGAATAAATACTTTCGGAAATATAGAGAATGCCGTTCAAGAAGGTCTAACAGAACTTTTGCAAATGAAATCATTTTACATAATCTTTTGTTGTCTTCCAATCCATATATAACTGATATGCGTAGCTGTGATAAAATTCATAGCGATTTAACAGAGAAAGCAATATTTCTCTTGTTATAATATTTTTTGTTTTCCTTTTTATTTAGAGATTAGTTTTTTTGTGAGTCACCCTGTATATTTTGTTAACTATTTGGTACAAAAGGCCATATTAATTTAGATTTAACAGAGAAAGTAATTTCTCATATGTTATAATGTTTTGTTTTCTTTTTTGTTTATAGATGAGCTCTTTTTGTAAGACACCCTGTCTATTTTTTAAAATATCTGGTACAAAAGGTCATATTAATTTAGATTTAACAGAGAAAGCAATTTCTTTTTTGTTGTAATATTTTTGTTTTCTTTTTTGTTTAGATATTAGTTCTTTTTTTGACACACCCTGTATATTTTGTAAACTATATGGTACAAAATGCCATATTAATTTAGATTTTTGTTGTATTTATTGTAAGTCGTACATAAAAAACAGTAAAATAAAAGTATTAATTTCGAAATAAGTCAATGTCCCTATTTTCCTATGCTTCGATCCATTGTGCGGCGCGGCGGTCAAGGCGTGATGGATCTTTTCTCTTTAGCAATTTTCGCTAACCGGTCGTTTGGCATCCTGTCCACATCTCTTCTCCTATTTTTGCCCATCTTACCACATCCTGTACTTCACATGTTTCCCTTATATCCTCACTTCTTTTCCGGTCATATAAGGTATTAATATACCTTATATCCTGTAATTGATCTTAGTGTTCTTATTTCTGTTTTTCTTAGGAGCCGTTTTGTTGTTGTGTTCTCTGCTCTAGTCTCTATCGCATATGTCATAACTAGTCTCACGCAAGCCTTATAAATTCTAACTTTGCTTCTGACGCTCATATATATTTCGCCA